CAAAATAGCGACCAAATAGACTTTAGGGATCTGGAAAGACTGCCTCAATGGGTTGTGGCCAATGGGATGAGGTTCAACAAGGCAAAGTGCTGGATCCTGCACCTGGGCCACAACAGCACCCTGACATTTTTCATTAACCATGTTGCTCCAAGCCCTGTCCCACTTGAACACTTCCAGTAGAACTACAAGACACTCAGACACTGATGTCTCAGAAGAGAGGAGGGAGAAAACCTGGACGAGTATGGTCAGCAAGGCTTAATAAATAAATACATTTAAACCGAGATACAGCTCTTGGCTTTTCAGGTAACAGTCTTTGGGTCTGGAGGTAACGTTTGCCTTGCATTAGCCCCAGTGATGTGCCAGTGACCCCTGAGAGCTGTAACTGCTGACCTGGCAGGCACAGCAAATCTAAATATTTAGAGTTTCAAAGGCTCAAAGCAGTGAAGTGAGAGCTCTGAGGTTCTGCTGCAGGCTGTGATGTTTCAGAGCAGTCACCCAGGGTGTGTTATTGGGTTTTGTCTGCTGTAATGTGTGCTTTGCGTTGCTTCACTCCCAAAGTCCACTTCCTGCAACATCAGTAGAACTTGTGTAGGTTTAGGTTGCCTCCATTAGAGCTGCATGTATGGTGCACTTCAGAAGTGCAGAGTGAAAGGGTTTAGGCTCTGCCTTGGTGTGCTTACAAAGATGTTTCCTTTAATCATAGGAAAATTACTGTTAAGATATAAGTTCCAATGGCTCTTGACACAGAACAACTCAGTGTTCTATGGCTAACCTTGCAGACAATGAGACTTCCATGGTATAAACTTCAGGCTTAGGAAATACACCTGGTTTCATCCTTAATAGTGTAGATGCAGGAGCTGAGGTGTCACTGTAGTCACTTCACTTTAATCTCCTTTGATCACCTAATCTTGAAGTGCTTCACAGTGGAAGACTTTATCTGGCACTGAGAAACACAGCCAGTGTGGCAGAGGGTAACATCTTGGGCAACCTGATTTAGTTGAAGATGTACCTGCTCATTGGAGGGGTGTTGCACTACATGAGCTTTGAAGGTCCCTGCCAACCTAAACCATTGTGTGATTCTATGATCTTATGAAAGCAAATAGAGAAACTGGAATAAAAAAGACTTTTCCTCCTTCTCAGGTGGTCAGGGGCTGGAGAACATTGAGCAGCCCATGGGCAGCATCTGTCTGTACTGGCTCTATGGTTGTCTGCTAGCTTCTCAAGGAACACGCAGACAAGAGCTGAAGGGTCTCTCTCGGTGTTTATGAACTACTGATCAAGTCTCAAAGCCTCTGTTAGGCTGAGCAAAATCTAGAGGTCTTTCTCCTACCTCTGTCAGCTGATGTGTTCTCCGTGTGTGATGAGGTTACCCATAGAGAAGAATGTTTAGGTAGCCTTTTGGTTTTGTCAAAGACACGCTGCAAGAGCTAGGGGAAAATAAGGAACATGTTGCTTTCAGTTTAGTTGGATTTTCTTTTATCCGAAGGGACCATTAACCTTTTGTATGTCATCTGAATGTGCAGGAAACAAGGGATCAGGAAGAGATCCTCAATGCTATTTAGATGCTGTTTAGATGGTTTTCAGCATGACATGATGCTGTGTAATTTACATTTGAAATGAAAACTCATCTTGTAATTATCAATGTTTCACTCACAAAGAGAAATGATTGTTCTCCCAGTAGTCTGGGAACAGAGCTGACTCCTGATTGCAGGGAGTGAGAGTGGGCTGAAAATAAGCCTTTAACAGGAGCTCTTCAATTTCCTCTTTTCTTAAATAGCACATATCTGTTTGCTGTGTAGATTGAACTGGACGCAACCCCCTCCCTCTGCCCCAAGGTGCTTGGCATCTACTACTTGCTGGTAGTAGAGACAAAGTTGAGTTCTTAAGTTGTGAAGAGTCTGTCTCCATCTTGCCCCCTCTCAGTATGTCCCCAGATGCTTTTTCTCTCTGCTCTGCCATCCCTCTCTGAAAGTCTTCTCAAACTCCTTCAGCTGGCTTCATTGGTGGGATGCTTTTCTCTTTCAAGAGGATTTTGTCCTCAGTCTGTGTAAATGTGCCTGTTGTTTCCTTAGCATAGATGAGGCAATAACTTTCCATTTGGAATGTGCCAATAGCAGAAGTGTCTCTTGGGTTCTGGAATTTGACCTCTTAAATCTTCTGCAAAGGATGGAATTTTGGGTTCGATTCCACTTTGGCTTCACAAATTCAGTTGTGTTTCCACTAATGCAAACTGATGCTTCAGTTCTAGTCTCCAGCGTGAAGAGAACGTGGTGAAAGACTCGGAGCTCCTCAGAAACCCAGAACTCTTCAGGTCTGAGAATATAAATTCGGTCCCACTGCTTAAAAGCACCCAAAGCTGAGTTTTCCCAAGAACGGTTTTCTCAACCCCTGCCCCAAAGGAAAACACCCCTTCTCTTCTTGTTTGCACATGCCCTGTTAGCCCCAGGCAGGTGGTACCCATGCAGATGCATTCCCTGGGAGTGGGACAACACTGCTCCGACTTGCATTTCCTCCTGCCAGCCTGTCCTCCCCAGAGACTCTCCCTTCTCCCCATTCCCATCCTGCCCACCCCAGTTGCTAACTCTCCCCCAGTTCCTGTCTCTGGGTTGAACATCCTCAACCCAAACGTGCCTCTAACACGGACAGTGGAGGAAGCAGATTCTTCTGTAACATGAATCTACTAGAGTGTGTAATGGATCTGTGTAAAGAGAGGAGAAGTATTTACCAGTTTCAATAGAGACGTAATGAGTCAGGATTCAGAGAGGTAGAATAGCAAACATCTCTGTTCTCTGGATGCTGTAAAGCAAAGCCAGAGCTCCGCAGAGAAACTTTCATTTCATTAAACACTTTTAATACTCAGCATTACTACAGTCCTGCTGGCAGCATATCCTAGTAGCTACTCTAAAAGGAGTATCTTGAAGCCCCCCAGTGGGTTCAGTATTAAAATGACTGTTGGACTGGCTACAGCGCTGTGGTTTGGCAGGTAGGAAGCATTTTTACATATTCAGGTTCTGGTGGAATATTAAAGGATTCCAGCATACAAGAAGCAGGTGCTTCCTTCTCTAGGGGTGAAGTTGGAAGCTAAATGTTATCCAAACTACTGCAGCGAGTTGATGGTGAAGCACAGAATCATAGAATGGTGGTGAAGCATGCTGGAAAACAATCCTAGAATGGGTTGGGTTGGAAGGGACCTTAAAGCTCATCCAGTTCCAACCCCTTGCCATGGGCAGGGGCACCTTCCATGAGAGCAGCTTGCTCCAAGCTCCCTGGGGCTGCGGATGCCAAGTTCTTCCTGAAGTGGTTTGAGTAGTCTCATTTCTTGTGTTTCATTACCACAACAGCAGCATGTCTGATTGCAGAGAAACCACTGTAGAAGCAGATCAAACAGTGAATGGGAGGGTTTCCTCCTTGATCTGAGGCAGCATGGTCGTGGCTGCGGTTGCAGGGAAGTTGGGCATAGCACAGCAAACTGTGTTCTTAAGAACCTCCAGCTTAGTCTGAATCTTCCCTATTGTGGTGTTCTGGCATGGCTGCAGCCACAGGAGAATATTACCAGCCTTCCCATGGCCCAGACAGCAGTTGAGGAGAACTGGGAAGCAGAAAGGTCAGGCCCTGCTATAGATGAGTATGTCCAAGAGGCAGGAAAGGGCGTCTTCAGCTGCAGTGAACAAGACGAATGGTTGTACTCAAAGAGGTTCTGGCTTTTGACTGGGCAAAGTGTTTTTGAGTGTGTTCCCAATGCTGGAATCCAAGTTGGCTGGTAAGAAATGCCTATCCCTTTTATTGGAATTGGCACCCACCTCCCCCTCTCTCAAAGCAGTGCTTGGGTGGGATGGCACACACGTGGTGTGGCACTAGCCTGTGATGTGGCCTCAGCCACGTTCCTGTTTGGTGCTGTGTCTACTTGTCACCCTCCAGGCACAACTTGTTCCCAGCAGAGGCTCTGTGCTCATGTGCAGCTCTGCCAACTGGGACACAAAGTCTTTTGTGGGATGTGCCATGGCTCATCAGGTTCCTTTTCTAGGATCTTGCAGCAACAATGAGAAATGAATCCAGTGACCATCAGGGCCCACAGCCACAGTTTCTTTTGTGACTTACAAGTGCGTTGCCTTTATGTGTCTCTGCCCTTAAATACTTGCAGTGTGAGTGAAACTTACCCAGCTCCTTCTGTCACCCAAGGAGCGATCAGCTGCCATCCTCCAATCTGACAGTTTAGAAGCAGAAGCCACTTTATCCTCTTCCTTATTAAGTCTGACCCCTGGTACTTCGCACGCCTCCCATGTCCTTCCTCGAATGCCTGTTGTTTGGGAGGTTCTTAAAATGCCACATCATTCCCGTGGCACTGTGATTTGAAGGTTAGTGGAGGACATTCATACATGGGATCTCCAAAGTGAATATGCTGAGGCACGTTTCTGCCTTGTGAACAGTCAGCAATGGCTGACCTTGTTTGAAGGCAGCAGTTTCCCTCACAACCCCTATGGACAGCCTTTAAGCACTTAAAGCCCAGGCGCATCTCAACCTTACTGGAAGTGTTTCAGTGGCTCTGCTGTGGGGTAGTTGTGGTACAGTGATGAGATTGTTGCCTGTATCTGCAAAGCAAAACCTGCAAGTGCTGAGTGCTATGTGTTCAGAGGGCATAATAAACACCTCACCCCACTGTGGTCTGGTGCTGGGGAATTGTCCCCTCCTTAGGGAACACCAGCTTGTAAGTGCTTCCAGTCGCTGCCGAGACACAAACATGCTGGATCTAGTGCTAAGGAAAGAGTTGACCCTCCACATTGGAAACTATGGGCTAAAAAGTGAACAAAACAACTAGACTCTACTTTTGGCTATGGAGATAGCAGGAATTCAGTGCTCCCTTTTAGTCGTAGTGCTGGGAAACAGGCAGTGCAGCCCGTCTCTTATCAGAGAGCTGCTGCCAAAGGGAGGAAAGCGGACAGCAAATATTTACTGTCAGATCAATTCTGTTTAAAGTGCAGTGTTTGTAGCAGAGCTTGGACACAGGAAGGTCAGGTGTAAGGATCAAGGCTGCATTTATATAAGGACAGAGGAATATGCACTGGAAATCCTTGCTTGGAAAGGGAAAAGGCCAGAGGATATGGAAGGGCAAACTATGAGGAGCTTCATCTTTGTCCTCACACTGGGCATTTTCTCATGTTCAGGTAAGTTGCTCAGAGTGGAGTCATGGCCTCTTTCTTACAGTGGTTTAGGGGACCACAGTGAACCTCTAACAGAACTGTGCCTTCATCTCAGGCTTTCCAGTGTACGACTATGATCTCCCTGTCACAGAAGAGGCTCTCAACGCTTCCATTGCAAGGATCAACTCTCAGTCACGGGGGACAAACCTGTATGGTGTTGTCAGGAGCCACGTCACAAGAGTAAGTGCACAGAGAACGAACATTCCTTTACCTGCAATATGCTTTGCTCTGATGGAAAACTCTTTTTCATCCAACCCTGAACCCCCAAATTTAGTTGGAGTTTTCTGATGCTGCTTGGAAGAGGGTGGGTTTGAGGCATTATCTGGAATGATGGCTTTGGGAACTGAAATGTTCTTTTCTTTCTCCAGTCTTTATTTATGTCATCTGTCTCCATGCACCAATGCTGATTTAAATCTGTTAGTGTCTAAATACAGGCAGGAAATTCTTTATCTGCTTTAATTTGCATTGCTAAGAATGATGTTGGGTACCCAAAGTTAAGGAGTAACATGCTGTAACTGTTCTGTTTCTATAGATGGCATGTATCAAGTCCTCTGCAAGGATGAATGACAAGATGACTTTGAGATTGATCTAGTTTGGAAAAGTACTTGAAAGCAGTGGGGTTTTGTTGGTTGTTGGGGTTTGGGTTTTGGTTTCAGTGGGGAGTGGGGTGAGTCTCCCATCTTGAGCTAAAACACTGCTTAGACTGCCTGTGAGGCACCTGGGCAGACAATGCAAGACTGTATTAACTGCATTAATTCAATTGCCTCCAGTGGTGGGATTTACTTTCTAAGCCTACTTACTTGCACAATAGGCTTCCCAGCAGTCTAGATATTCAAAGCAGAGCTGTTAGCATCCTGCTTCCCTCAGAAGATGGGGTAGCACACAGGGTAATGGTATGCTTATCTACCTTTGAGAGCTCTTAAGTCCCCCCAGCTGACTCTGAGCAGTAGGAGGATCCTGCAGTGGTAGTAGGGATTCAAGTGAGACCCCCATGGAAAGCTGTTCTATGTTGCTGACTAAGAGAGAAATTCCTGAGCACAATAAAACAGGCTTTCTCACGCACAGTAATCGGCTCTAAATTGGGCACTGAGCCGTAATGCCCTTACGTCGGCTTCTGCTTGACAAAGAAGCAAGGCTGCCATGTAGCAGGCATAGAGGAATGACAGGCACTAATTATGTATTGTCTTGACCTTCCTTTGACCAGGTTGACATGTGGAACAGTGATGCCTATAGACTGGAGCTGCAGTTCAGCATCCGTGAAACGGAGTGCACGAAAGCATCGGGGAGAGACCCGTTCACATGTGACTTCAGAATTGGGCCTTTTGTGGTAAGTGAATGTGGTGTGAATGTGAAACCCCAAATTGATGTAGGATGACGGACTTGAGGGTGTTGGGTGGGGAGAAGCTCCCAGTGACCTGGCAGGACATGGGTGGTTTCTGAGCTGCACCCCCAGAGCATGAGCAGCAGTTCAGGAAGGGGATCCTGCCCCTCTGCTGTGCTCTGGGGAGACCCCCTGCAGTCCCAATCCAGCTCTGGGGCAGCAGCACAAGAGGGACGTGGAGCAGCTGGAGTGAGGCCAGAGGAGGCCACAGAGATGCTCCAAGGGCTGGAGCAGCTCTTGCTCTGGAGCCAGGCTGAGAGAACGGGGCTGGGTCAGCCTGGAGAACAGAAGGCTCCTTAAGGAGAGACCTTAGAGCAGCTCCAGTGCCTCAAGGTTCTACAAGAAACCTGGAGAGGGGCTTTGGACAAGGGCCTGCAGGGACAGGACAAGGGGAATGGCTTTAACCTGCCAGAACAGGGGAGACTGAGATGAGCTCTTAGGCAGAAGCTCTTCCCTGTGAGGGTGCTGAGGCTCTGGCACAGGGTGCCCAGAGAAGCTGTGGCTGCCCCATCCCTGGCAGTGCTCAAGGCCAGGTTGGGCACAGGGGCTTGGAGCAACCTGCTCTAGTGGAAGGTGTCCCTGCCTGTGGCAGGGGTTGGAGCTGGAGGAGCTTTAAGGTCCCTTCCAACACAAATCAGTTTGATTCTACAGTGATTCTATGAGTTGTTGAAACACTGGTTTTCCTTTGTGAATGTCTGTAACCTTACCTGTCCTTCCTGGGCACAATGGTTAGGAAGCAGGAGGGATTCTGTGAAGACACAGGACAGATGCTGCAAAGGCTTTCCTTATAGCTTATGAGTCATGCTACTACCTCAGGAGGTAGTTTACTCCATGAAGAGTGGGGCAAACTTCTCTGAGTAACTACTCTTGATTTAAGCAGCTTGTGTGTGCATGTAGGTGGGATAACACGAAACTGATGGTTGTTGCTAGATACTCTTTAATGATGCAAGTGTTGGCTGCTGTGAAGTTATCACTGTATCCTGGACAGACACCATCCCTCTGCTTTTCTTCCTGGGGAAATGCGCTATGAAAGGTAGTGTGAGGACCTCTCTCTTTTCCAGACTTGGGTGCAGGTTTTGCTGGAGCTTCTTAAAGGTAGCTGACTTAAAGGTAGTTTAACTTGTAGAGCTGGAGCTGCCATCAGCATAGCCCTGGGCAGCCCTTCTGCTTGTGCTTGGTGATGCCAGAGCCATGAAAAGGAGTTAGAGATTTTCTTCTACCTCAAGCAGGCTGAAGGCTTCATACAGCTGACATGTAATTGTGGAGCAATGACCTGGGTGTAGTCATGTGCTGCCAGAATATATTTACCTGACTACAGTCTGCTCTGATAATGTGAGAGGTGTACGATCTTCCTCTTGGAATTTAATCCCTGTACAAGTTCCCATCCCCAGTGAAGGCCCCGTGAGAGGCTTTGTCCTATGGCTTTGCTCTAAGAGATTTGCTCTGGTTTGATCTGTTACAGCCAACCACTTTCTGCAGAAGTGTTGTGGAAGTCTCCCATGAGCTCATCTCCAACATTGTTGTGCAGTGCCATCAAGGCGCATCCAGCTCCGAATCACTGAGCAGCGAGGAGGTAAGGGAGGGGAAAGCTCACTTTTACTGTTTGGGGAACAAAAATCCAGCTCATTCTCTTTAAAGGAGGTCAGGTGCAGCTGCATGAGCTGCAGCTCCTGCTGCAGCTGAGGTTTTGATCACAAGACTCGTGTTGGTTTGGAACCCAGCTGTCTCCTCTAACGCTTCACTTTCCATCAGCTGAGAGGTTTGACCTTGCCTGATGGATGCCTGGGGAGAGCGTGAATCTCTGCAGCAGTCTGGCACAGCCACCAGCTCCAGCACTCCTTTTTCATTGACACAATGCCTGGAGAAAACTGATTGACACGTCTTAGGCAGAAACAGATACCCCTGGCTCTGGCTCTGTTACCAAAGCCAGCTCCAAGCTGAGCACGTAATCACAGTACAGCTGAAGAACATTTGCTCTACTGAGATTTGTGTGCCCTTTTTGAGCTCTTATTTGGGTTTAAGGTGTGATTAAATGCCAACCCAACCTGTGAATTCCTTGAGCTCTTCACATCATGCTCATGTCCGCTTTTTCTATGCACTGACACATGAACCTAGGTGCCTGCACTTAAGTGGAGCTCTGCAGAGGGTGTTGTCCTTGAGGGTTATATACGGGGAACCAGGATAGTTTCACAAGCAAGGTGCCAGAGGATATGGACAGCCTTTATTTTGGGGAAGTGGGAGTGACTGAATGAATAACTTGCAGCACATGGGATTCTGTGTCATTTTTCCTTGCTTTGAATTGCCAAAGTGGCTTCCCATTTAGTTTTATTTTTACACCTTTGTTGTTCGGGCTCTATTCACAACCAGGGAGTGAATGCACCACAGGAAGCCTTGCTTTGCAGAACAGAAAGGCTGCATGTGAAGTGCTGAAATATGTAACATAGTCTGGGATGCTCAGTCTGTCCTCTGTGGGTTAAGCATAACTCTTGTTTAATAGGGCACTCAGTATAAACACTTGCTTTTACAAGCAGGCATCTTCCTGCAAGTCTTCTTTAACTATCACTTAAAATTCAGTCCTGCTGCCAATATTCCTGCTGGGGAATATATTTCCTGCAATGTTAATAAGGAGTAAATGCCAAAGGGAATTATTGCACATGAAAAGGAAAGTATTTCTTTCTGCAAAGGCCTGCAGCAAGTGCACTGTAGCTCTTGCTCTAGAGCTGTAACTCAACCTGGCTGAGATGATGTGGTGTAGCTCCTGTAGGCTGGTGGCATTTGAATAGGAGAAGAAATTGTGACTGGCTGAGGCTGGGCTCATTTTACTTGGATAGAGACCAACAAAAGAAGAGTACAGAGAGCTTTTAAAAGAGTAATTGGGGCTAACTGAGTCACAGAGGTGCCCTGTGTGACTGCAGCAGACTAACTCTGCTGTGCAGGCTCTGCTGGCCTGGCCGGAGAAGGTCAGATAAGGTATGAAGGACAAAAAGGTTTTGACTGGAGAGCCTGCAGACTTCCTTAGCAACATCAGTGCTTTGCAATAGTATCAGCGGTGGTCTTGTTTTCAGAGGAGTGAATAACGATGTTTGGAATGACTTCAGTGATCACACAGTACATGGGGAAATGGAGGAGAGGGAGACTTCTGATAAGGTCTGATAAGAAACATCTTTCCTTTACAGTTTATGCACATGCCCATAATGAACCCCAACAGGCGAGGCAGCAGCCGCAGAGAAGGTAAGCCATTCCTGCCATGCTAGACTAGCATGTGTTTGCCTTTTGGATCATCTGCATGGACCACCTGAAGATCATCTATCTGAGGGACAAGGAAAGCAGTTTGCTCAGGTCATAGCCAGCTGCTTTTTCCATTGCAGAGGGGTGTCTCATTGAGGAAGTGGTGAGGGCATTAGGTGTGAAGTAAGGCAATGCTGAGGCTTGTGTGGTCTGTGTACATGTTTTTTGGATGACCAGATTTGTGCTCTTGTAACTGTGCTGCATCCTCAGCAGCGTGAGCAGCAGGTCAAAGGAGGTGATCCTGCCCCTTTGCTCTGCTCTCGTAAGACCCCCCTTTCAGCACTGTGTGCAGTTCTGGTGTCCTCAGCATGAGAAGGATGGAGCAAGTCCAGAGGAAGCCACAAGGATGATCAGGGGCTGGAGCACCTCCCGTATGGAGACAGGCTGAGAACATTGGGGCTGTTCAGCCTGGAGAAGAGAAGCTGTGTGGAGACCTCATAGCAGCTTCCAGTGTCTGAAGGGGGCTACAAGGATGCAGAGAGGGACTCTTCATCAGGGACTGTAATGGCAGGACAAGGGGTGATGGGTTCACACTGAAACAGGGGGAGTTCAGGTTAGAACATAGGCAGAAGTTCTCCCCTGTGAGGGTGCTGAGGCACTGGCACAGGGTGCCCATAGAAGCTGTGGCTGCCCCATCCCTGGCAGTGTTCAAGGCCAGGTTGGACACAGGGGCTTGGAGCAACCTGCTCTAGTGGAAGGTGTCCCTGCCTGTGGCAGGGGTTGGGACTGGATGAGCTTTAGGGTCCTTTCCAGCCCAAACCATTCTGTGATTCTGTAATGAGTACTTCTGGGCATCCTTGAGATTGTTTTGGTGTTATGTGAAGTGCTGAATGAATGCATGGTTGAAAGTATGTAATGCTCATGTATGCCTCCATGTTCTTCTTTTCAAAGACGTATTTGCTCCTGAAGCTTTCCCTTCAAGGGGAAGAGGCAGCAGCTATGGAGACTGGCATAAACCCAGCTACTTCAGCTCTGACAAGATGGAATAATACCCTTTGGGTGAGTAAAATTCAAAGGGTAGCTTTTGTGCAGTTTTGCAGCAGGGTGGGCAAGTGACTCAGGATAAAGGACCTCTGAGAATGTCCTTCTTGGCTGTGAACATGTTAAAAGCTATTTAACTCCCAGCATTTGTAGGACTCGCTTATGGAGAAATTCGGGGACACAAACAACACTACAAGCACCATGGATGGGGTGCAACCTCTGGTGCCAGTGGACTGCCCTGGCTGTGTATTGGCGAAGAGTTGTTGGGTACCCCAGTCTTTCTGCAAGTCACCTACCACTCTTGTGCTGGTGCTCTGGCTTCTTGTACCTGTTTATACTGCAAGCTCGTTTGCAGGCCATGTCTTTGTGCTGAATCTAATGCAACAGGGCACCCTAGGCTACACAGGTCAGCAGACAAAAAGCAAATGTGTAATATGGTATCTGGGAGAACCAAGATGAGGTTTACTCAGGGCATGTGTTTGTTGCAGAGAAGCTGTGAAGGAGATGTTTGAGTTAATGGGAATGATAATAGATGGTGTTCATGCTTCACTGCAGCTGGCAAGGTCTATCCTACACAAACCACCTTTGCTGCTCTACTTCTAAGGCGTTATGTGGGAGCAGCTGTAATTGCTGCTGATATTTCACCTGCTGTCTGATGGAGTTAATCTAAAGGGAAGAAAGAGCTTTAGGAACACAGAATGGAGGATGTTCTTTGGCATGCTAACCAGTTCTAAAGTAGCTGGAAAAGGAAGACAAAATCACTTAGCACTATGTCTTTGTGATTAAAAGGCTTGCACACACGCTTGGGTACATCTCATTAGCAGGTCCCTGTCCCTGCACAAAGTGCCAGAACTTAATGCTCCATGTGCATGGAGCTCAGTTCAGGCCTGCTGCATTGGCAACAAGACAGCCTTAGATGACTCACCAAAAACTAACACATGTTACTCATAAGCACATCCGTGATAAATCTGTATGTGCTGAAGGAGATGTAACCCCTACTCTCCTCAAATTTAGATCTGAAAGGAAAACGCAGTCATTCTGCTAAGGCAGGTCTTTATTTGTGAAAAGGATTTCATTAATCCATATGCTATTTTAGTTTATCTATGAGCCAGTAAAGGTGATAGGCTGTTGTAATCACTGCCTTTCCTCTCATAAGAACCTTTAGCTTCCCTAAGCGTATTTGAACTTCCTTGAGCATATTGCAGTGCCGTTCTGGTATGCACTCTGTGTCTTTCTGTGTACCTTTCATCCAGGGAGATGGTGTGGAAAGACTCAGGCTTACTGAAGAGTGTCCTCTCTCAGTCTGGCTCAGTGAATTTGGGTTGAGTTTTCTTCAGCTGGTCTTCCAGAAGAGTTGTATGCAAGGGCATCCATGTGCTCTGCATGGGGAGACATCCTTGTCTTGGCATCTGGAAAGTGCCAGGTATCTTAAATGAAATCTGTGGCTCTCAAGGGCAGGTGACCCCTTTAAGCAGTAATCACAAATGTTTTGTGTTCCTGTATCTAATGTCTAACAGATTTCTACACTGGAGCAAGCTGTCAAATCTCCTGGAAGGAGAATGTGAAGCAAATTGGGAGGGATTTATGGTTCTTGAAATCCTGTGCAGGAGTTGGACTTGATGATCCCTATGGCTTCCTTCCAACTCAAGATATTCTGTGATTTTAATACTTTCTGCTTGCTCTGGAAAACGGGTTGTGTCATTTATGGAGCCGTGTTTCATATCAGTGTCCTAGGTTTTGGCCATCTCAGAGGCAGATACATCAGGAGATTAAGGGAGAATTTCAAACCCCCTCAAAACTCCCTTTTCTTCTTGTTTTTATCCATTTGACTTATTAGGTAGAAAGTCTGGAGAGAAGTCTTATTTCTCTGTTTCACTTGTATTCAGAACTAGAGGGTTTCATCTGTGGCTTCAATTTGGAGCCACACATATCCAGATGAGTTCATATTATTCCTGGCTTTTTCCCCTCTGTTTGGCACCTGTGGGCTCATGGCTGGCATCGTTACAAGCCGTGCTGTGATGGCTGTGTTTGGTGGGTAATGGAAAGTAAGTGCTGTGTGTTGAGATGGCAGGAGCTCAGCTTATCTGAGAGTATTTTGGCAGAGGCTGAGGAAGCAGCAGTTTAATAATAGGTGACTTTCAGCTGTTATTCAAGGAACCTGTTGTTGAGAGGCAAAGCAAGACAAGTTCAAGTAAGTAATGAAATGTGAATATCCTGTGCCTGAGTCTATGCAAAAAGCGAGGCTAAAGTAGCTCACCAGTGCTTTGTGGCTCTTTATTTATTAGAATATTAATATTCAAGAGGAAAAAAAAGATCAGTGCAATGGTTATATAAAGAACTTTTCCAAGCCTCCAGCCTTCAGATCCTGCTGGTGCCTGCACGAGTTAGCAAACTGCATAGGAAAGAACGACATCAGTGATTAATGAGCTTACTTCAAGTGACAAATCCTAATCAGATTTGCTGGATTTACTTCCTAGTGCATCTCTGGAACTGTAAAATTCACATGTTGTGCTGTGGGCCAGCAAGGAGCTCAGGCACATCAACAAGAGATAGCAGGAGAGCCAGCTGCTGCACAACATCTGGTCACCCTAACAGCCTTAGTCTTCAACAGGCATTAAGGTCATCAGTTAGCTTGGCCTGCCAGGTGTGTGTAGAGTTAGTTGCAGCTGTGTCAGTCACCACAGTATCAGCAAATGATAGGTTCCATTGGTTGGAACCTGCTTGATGGTGTTTGTGGCTCTGAATTGCTGAAAAAGTGGCTCAAACTCAGTAACACCTTGAACCCCAGAAAGCAAAGGAAAAGGGCCCCAACACTCTGCTCTTCCAAAATCAACTGCTTAAGTCAGGTTATGTTCCTCAGGGTGGAGTCTGATCTATGACTGCTGTAGGGAGTCTCACCACCACTGCTTCATTTCCTTGAACAGGAAAACTGAGAAGAAAGCTCTTGCCTTTGCTTGTAATATATATGGAGATTGTGAATACTGATTCTTACTGTTGTTAATCACACAAGGAAAGTGTAATTAATGCCAAATTCTATCTGCATCAAGCCAAGGGGCTGTGACAATGGCTCTTTGGCTGAGTTCTCACCAGGGAGAGCCTACAGCTGGTGGGAATGTGGCAAGGGCAGTTGTTAGAAGCTGATTAACAGCCTTGCAGAAGCAGAAGTGAATGGCCTGGCATCAGTGAATAGTAGTGGTTTGTTTTCAGTGGAAGAATAACATTAGGCCTCTTGTCAAACCCAAGAAATCCAGGATCCAAGCTTCAGAGTGAAATGGATGCTTGTTGGGGTGTCTTCTACAAAAACAATAATGGAGCAGGCTACATCACCCTCCTGGGGTGTGGAAAGCAGAGCTTTTATCCCGTGTCCTCATTGAGAAGCTGCTTGATTCTAGTTCCAGTTTTGTATTCTCATGGCTTCATATGTTCTGTCTTTGTCTTTTCCTCTCAGTTCACCCACTCCACTTTCTGCAGCTCTCAGAAAGAATCGTATTGCTTTCTGGGGGAAAGAAGTGAAGCATCAGAGGGAAGGAAAATCCCTGCAGAATGGGATCTGTTGCACAGTGCCTGAGCTCCATATCCAATCGGCTTTAAGAGTAAAAGCTGGAGCAATTTATCACTTAGGCAACGTGGAGGAAATGACAAGCTGTCTTGGAGCCTGTCTGTGATAGCTAAGTCCTTGGTGTCATCTGGTTTCTGTAGCAGAGAAGTCAGCCTTCTTTCATCTGCTCAGAGGTGAAGGACTGAAGTTGAAACAGACCCAGGAAGGACCTTTCCTGATGCTCAGGTCAGATCATGGTGCAGGGTTGAAGCAGAGGTGTTACAGCAGAGAGGACAGCTGCTGTGATAATCTCTTACCGCTATTCTGAATGTCAGTGATTTTTGCCTTGCTCTTTGTCCACCTCTTCTGGATCTGTTTTGAAGGATTAGACCAACTGAGGACTGTCTTCCAGCTTACTGCTTAATGTTGGATTTTGCAAGCAATAAAAATGAGCTTGTCAAAATATCACAAAGGCTGGGAAGGACCTCTGGAAGCCCAGCACTTGTTCAAACAGGGCCAGGTTCATGAGGTTTGAATATTGCAGACTGGTTTGGGTTTGAAGGGACCTTAAAACTCATCCAGTTCCAACCCCCTGCCACAGGCAGGGACACCTTCCACTAGAGCAGGTTGCTCCAAGCCCCTGTGTCCAACCTGGCCTTGAACACTGCCAGGGATGGGGCAGCCACAGCTTCTCTGGGCACCCTGTGACAGTGCCTCAGCACCCTCACAGGGAAGAGCTTCTGCCTAAGAGCTCATCTCAGACTTCCCTGTTCTGGCAGGTTAAAGCCATTCCCCTTGTCCTGTCCCTACAGGCCTTTTTCCAAAGCCCCTCTCCAGGTTTCCTGTAGCCCCTTTAGGCACTGGAGCTGCTTTCAGGTCTCCCCTTAAGGAGCTTTCTCTTCTCCAGACTGAGCCGGCCCAGTTCTGCCAGCAAAAGATTTTTTCTTAATCTAAACTGGAATTTCCCATATTCCCACTTGTTCCCTGTTTTTTTCTCATCTCTTTGTTCCCAGTGCTGAGTGTTGTAGCTGGTCCTGGTTCTTTGGCCTGCATCCTGCATCTGCAGGGCTGGGCGCTACCCAGATGCTCCTGGACAAGCTCCTCTCAGAGGGATGCTGTATCTGTCGTGTGTGGATGCTCCCTTCTGGCACAATCTATCCCTAAAATGTTATTAACCAATGTGTCTTGCAGAAGAATGTCAGGTTGCCATGGTGACAAAGTTGCTGAAGATACAGTGCAGGCTACAGACTGCTGTGGAAGCAGTCACATGCTCCCTTGGAAAAACACATCCCAGATTTCTTCCCCATATTGTAGCTCTTAATTCAGATGCAAATCCCAGAAGACAATACATCAGCTTCTAACCTGAGCCAGCTCTGCTTTGAGACTTTGCAGTATTATTGATCTGTGTCCTGTACTTACTTCCCTGTTGTTATCTTTTCCATCAGTCTGGTTCTTTTTTTCCCTTTACACCAATGAACAGCTGACATTTCATCTGTGCACATGTGGAGTGGTTTGTGGATGCACAATGACAGATTCCTTGTGGTGTGATTCTGATGCTAAACCAATAAATAAGCAGTTCAGTGAAGCTGGATGCACTTTTTATCTGAGGCCATGGATGTTTGGTTATTTCTGTCAAGTACGAGACAAATCCTGAGCTATGCCATTTCTCCCCCTCCCTTGTCTTAAAGTAGATCGGAGAATGAGAAGAATCAAGATTCAGAGGTGGAGCATGGGAAGAAAGAAGCTGATGCCATTTCCTTTCCTTTTCCGTGACAGAACCATTCCGTAATGAAACGGAAGTCTTTCCCTAAACTTGCTTTCTGCTGTGACGTCAAATGGCCAGTGGATGAGCTCCTGAGACGCTAAGTGCCCACACTTGTGAGTTGATAGCTGCCTTCTGATGCATTAGATCTCAGTGGGAGGACTCTCTCAGACACCTAGACACAGTTACGTGTCCAGTATGTGATGCACCATCCTCTAATGATGCTATTAAAGGATCATTATTCCATCTGTTTATTCTGCATTGCTCTCTGGTTGCTTGTAATCTTTAGTCAAACTAATAAACACTCCATTTCTTTTTCTCTGGGGTGCAGCAGCTGCGGACAAGGTGTCTTCCTGCAAATCCAAGTTTTAGCCCACAAGTAATCAAGCTTTAATGGATACTTGACTCATGTGGAGAGCTGAGGGAACCTATGATAGTGATTGGTACATGACATTAGTCATGTACTAATTGTCATGACAAGAGTGGTTAGAAGTCCTCAAAGAATCAGTGTTGGAGATACCAGCAAAAGTGATGTTAGAGATCTATTGTTTCAACAGAATTCAATGGCAAGGTTCACTCTACAGGATGTAAAAGGAAATTGTATCAAAATTGGTGATGATTTATATAGAATTGGACTAATGTGATGTGTACAGAAACTGGGGACATAAAGGGACAAGGGAGATCCTCCTGTTGAGTCACAGGGTTCAGCATGGACCCCTTGCTTTCTGAACTCATGACTGGATCCAGTCTTAGTCCCATACTTGGTCAACAGTTTATGCCTAGGGATAAGAGGTTATATGTTGTGTCCAGCAGCAGTGCAGGTTTCATTCACAATTTGAAGGTGAATCACAAGATTTCTAACTTGACTTAGAGCTAATACACACACAGCTGCAATCCGATATCTAAACACAATACACACACACAAAGATATGTATATATGTACAAATGTATGCCTGCAAAAATACGTATGTATGTATAAAGAATTCTGTTAAAAATTTCCTTGAGGTGCAGTGAGAATGCATCAGCTTTCTCAATACTCCTCAATGGGCTCTTTGGTTATGGTGCAGGCTGGCATTAGGGCTCTGCACACCTAATTCACCTAGTGCAGATGTGATCCCACTGAACACACACAAGTCATCCATAAATAGGCAACAGAAGCTGTTCCTACAGAAGCTGTTGTTTGCACAGTGAGGGTACTGAAGAGGTGTTTTGTATGTAGCTGGGGTAACAGCAAAGGTTCACCTTTATGCTGGGTTGGTGGGCAGGCACCTGTATCAGCAGGATTATAAAGCTTGAGCAGCCCTGTGGTGGAGGGGACCTTCTCCTGACTGAGCTGCAGGCCCTGCTTCAAACTGCACACAGGAAGCTCTTGGTGCAGCCAGCAGTTTGATTGTCTGCGTGTTACTTGACACCGAGATCACAATGAAATAGCTTTCTTCTTACCAAGCACCTTATGAAGAATGGCTTTCCACTGCTCCTGGAATCAATGGAAAGAAAGCAGGTGAGGAGCTTGCAGTTCTGGGACCGAGTATGTTTTTCCTCCTGTCTTTCTCTGCGTCTTCGCTTTCCTGTTTCCAGCTCTGTTTCTTTGCTACTGAATGGAAGAGGCCTCTGGGAGAGATGCCCTTTGAGTGCTGGATATCCAGCTAGCTGTTTTCTCTCATGCTCATGATGGCTTTGTGTCAAACTGGATCAAAATAAGAGGTGAATTTCCTAAGACAGAAACAGGCAAATTGGTTGGATATCTGGTGGGAATATAACAGTGCCATTTAGTGCTGTAGAAATCTTCAAAACACTTGGATATAATAAACCTGAGTTTGAAGATCTGCTCCCATCTCTGTTCCCTCCCACCACCTAGCACACTGTCTTGGTCTGCAGTTTTGCTTCTGTGCTCGCTAGTACCCAGCTCTCTTGCTCAGTAAGTGGTGGTCATGGGAGCTGCAGAACTGATCACCAGCTCTTTATCAGTTATGTAACTGTCCCTCCTTTCAAAACCAACTGGTGTTTCTCTCTAAAGCAGCTCTCCCATCTGGTTTGACTCCCGGTTCATTTTCCCTACTGACTGTACTGACTGCTGCAAGGTAACCCAATTTCTATCTCTAAAGCATAAGAACATGTAGTCAGAGCCCTCGATGGTTAGCAGTAGGAAATAGAAGGAGGTGGAAGGTACTGTTAAGATGTCCAGCAGAGGAAGAGCTGTTTTCCTTTCTCGTGGTGATTTTGCTTTGCCTGTGTCAACAGGAGCGGGAACATCACCCCTTCAAATAATCTTTGCTGAGCATCTTCCTAATAGCAGTGACTTCACGCCTTTGCGCTGATTTTAGGTAGACCCATGACTCTTCATTTAAAAGCTGGTGGAAAGAACCAGCTTAGCTACTTTCTGAACCTCCTGAGCTCAAGTTACCACGCACCTTGTATTCTTATGTAGATATGAGTATCTTCCTGTCCTAAGCAAAGTATGGGTGAGCAGAACTTTCTGGGCTGTTCCTCCAAGACCTGACTTTATCTCCTGGATTGAATGAGGTGGATTGACACATGAGTCAGCTTCAGCTGTGCCTGTACTCTTCCCTATTTCATTCTTGCTTTTCCCAGTTCCCAACAGGCAGCGTAAGAGCAGTTGTGTTTTACTGATGGAGGGTAGTGGCAGGCTTCTGCATCAGTGAAATAGGAGGGGAGCATTTTGTACAAAATCCTTATCTTGTGGCTCTGTACATCAGGGAAAAGAGACAGAAGAGCTTACTGAGTTTGACAGCGGAGTAGAAAACTTGTCTTTGAGCTAAGGATGGGCTAGCTGACCCTGGAATGATGAATAGAGCTCTTTCAGGTGTAGGGAAATAGCCATCTGTAAGCAAACAAGAGTGAAGCAATGTTTTCCTTCAGGAAGCTACTTTCAGCATTATCAATTTATCCTCTCTGCCCTCTGCGGACAGATATTTGGTGGCAGTGATCTGTCCCCACAGTCATTTCTATCACTCACGGGATACACTGCCAGTACCTTGTCACTGGCAATGTGTGGACATTTAGATTATTCTACATTCACAGTTGTCTGAGCTAAAGCGTCTTACTACTGTTAAAGAATGAATGAAAACTGGGGTTGCATCTGACCTCCAGATATGACCCTTGTATAGGAAAGGTCTGATCTCTTAGCATTGCTAAACAAGCTAAAACTTAGAAGGCAGGACTTTACAGTCATGTCCCTTGGGAGCAAGAGCAGGAGCTTGTCTGCAGGCATCATTGTAGCATATGCATTGGGTCTAATGTCTTTTGACAGACACAGTGAAAGGCCAGCCATCTCCAGCATGCCTGAGACACCTCTATGCTAATCATAGAATCATAGAATATAATCGTATGTGAGCATCCAAAAACCCACTTTTTTCCCCCAGCAAAAGGGATTACAAGTACTTTAAGTTCCTTGCTGCCAGTAAACAAATACCTTCACAGCTAGAAGCTGATGTGGCATCTGCTGTGCAGATGCTTATCTGGCACTGGGGAGTAATATTTTCTTTGCCTGCATTACTCAAGTCTTTTGTGGTCTCAAGTCTCTGTGCTGACTCAAGCAGTTGTTGCTCCAACATAGCAATGGTAGTTGCTACGGATGTTCCCTTCCGACTCCCATGTCTGAGAGATTGGTCTGAAACACCACACCGGTGCCAAGAGCAAATCTACCCTCACTGTGACTGAAACCTGGAATCCTACCGCAGTCCTGGTTCTGTTTGGATTCAGCCACATCCTCACAATTGAGACTCCCAGCCTTATGTAGACTCCAGAAGTGCCTCCCTCAGAGGGAGCAAGCTTTATCATCAAGCTCTTGCACTCTTGCACCAAGAAATATGTTGACTTGTCCATTGGCATGCTATGTTGTCCATGGCCACACTTCCCAAGCTCTGAGTCCCCCCAAAACCAGGGTGTTATATTGGAGTTCGTTAAGGAACGTACCAATTTTCTTTCAACATCAGAATTCTCCATTTAGCAGAGAAAGGAGGGATGCTGCCAAGAGCAAGATGCAGAGCAAAGTACCCCGAGGAGGAGGTAGGATCTGTGTAAGCAGAGCACTAGTTTTGCTGATGGATTTTCCTTGGAGAGTGAGGATTTATGCAGCAGCAGGGACAGAGAGCTTTCCCTGCACCTCTTAGAGATACTACTTGCAGTGGAATTAATGTGCGGAGTAGAAATTCTCCCCTCGTAGACTTTGAGGTTGTTCAGAAACTCTGAGACAGCAAAAAAGGGAGCTATGTCTGAAGGGAGACAGCAAAACCAAAAGGTCTTAGACTGAGGCTTGCTGCATACAGGGGCTTTGTGGCAGATTGTTTGAGCTTTGCCACACCAGAAGGTAAAAATGTAGTCACCTTTCAATGCAGAGCAGTTGCAGGATGAGGAAGGAAGTGAAGAAGCATTGATTTGGACTTGCTCAATAATGTATGGAATTAGTAGGAGCGACTGCAGCTGCAGCTGAGGCAGTGTCAGGGGACCTGTCCCTGCATAGTGAACGTGTCCTATGCTGACCTCCAGTACCTCAGTTTGTCCCTGTGGAAGGTGGGAAACTGCTGACTCTTTGCTCTCTTTTCAAAAGCAATAAAACCTACACTCACGGCAGAATTGATCCTCTTCACGTGTGTTTTCTCCCTCTTTTTTCAAACCAAATCCCTCTTTATGCTGGCAGTCTTTGAGCAGGACTTCCCATGGTGTGGTGTGGATGAAAGACAACACCATGTGGTAATGTTGCAATAAAAACAGGCTCAGTTCTCTTCTTGCCCTTCAGTCAACACTTGGGGAAACTGTGGTATTTGGGCTCCAGGGTGTCACAGCATTTCATTTCCTAGACTCAGTCTTTGGCATCATGCCATACGTGCTCAGTGATAATTGCTGCTTGACGTTAGTATAGACTCACACGAGTGTCATACAGAGTCCCAGCCTGGTTTG